TCTGTGCAGGCCAGTCAAGTTCCTCCACCCCGAACTCGCTCATCCATGTCTTTATTTATATTATTATTATTTATATCTTGCTTTGTACACTGGTGCTCAGTTACTTTACACTTGGCACAATGCAGTTAGGCAAGTACCGTTCTCCTCGCAACCACCAAACCCAGACATGTCCATTGGATTGCCAGATGGTGGCGTGCTTTACACCACTGCATCCGACGCTTTACATTGCACTTGGTTATGTAAGGCTTGGATGCAGCTGCTCGGCCATGGAAACCCATTCCAGTGTTGGCGCGCTTTACACCACTGCATCTGACGCTTTGCATTGCACTTGGGGATGTAAGGTTTGAATGCAGCTGCTTGGCCATGGAAACCCATTCCATGAAGCTCTCTACACTGAAGGCCACACAAAGTTTGTAGGTCTGTAGCTATTGACTCAGTTGGCGACTTCTGCACACTGTGCACTTCAGCATGCGCTGACCCCGCTCTGTCATTTTACATGGCCTACCACTTTGTGGCTGAGTTGCTGTTGTTCCCAGTTGTTTCCACTTTGTTATAATACCACTAACAGTTTACCGTGGAATATTTAGTAGCAAGGAAATTTCACGGATATACTTAATGCACAGGTGGCAACCTATCATGGTACCACGCTTGAATTCACTGAGCTGCTGAGAGCAACCATTCTTTCACAAATGTTTGTAGAAGCAGTCTGCATGCCTAGGTGCTTGATTTTATACATCTGTGGCCATGGAGGTGATTGGAACACCTGAATCCAATGATTTGGAGGGGTGTGTGTGTGTGTGTGTTAGACCTGAGGCATCCTGGATTCCCATCTCTTCAACTTACATCTTCCAGCAGGGGTGCAGTAATGAAGCAAGGAGCCTGGCAGGTGGTATCCTGGCTCCTGCCCGGCATTCAGATTGGATGAGAAGCCTGTGAAGTTGCAGCTATGCTCCCTTACAGCTTCCCTGGCACTGAGGTTGCTAAGAGCTGGTGGGGAGATGCAAACATTTCTCCACTCGGCTCTTAGAGGCATCACTCCCCCCACACTGATTGTGCACCATTCAGCATGGCCGTCCCCTACCACCACCATCCCAGCCTCCTCAGGCGGCATAAAGGCTATGGACACCCCTGTACATAATAGATCTTCCTTCTTCACACCATAAATCTTCAATATGCCTGCAGGAGGAAGTCCAGGTCATGCTGAACTTACATAGTATTTGAGGTTGAAAACAGACACAGGTCCATCAAGTTCAACCCTCGCACGCTTGTGTGTTGTGTGTATAAGAGTCCCTGTGTGGTCTAGTATTTAAGTGTACCTATACCCCCCTCCGTGCCTCGAACTTCAAACTCAATTTAAAGGCTTATATGCAAGTTATTGGCCATAAAAAGGGTATGGGGATTCAGGTACTGCCCTGGGGGACATGTATCAATAAAAAAAACACTTTTCAAAAATACCGTTTTTAAAGGAGCAGTGATTTTTAACATTGCTTAAATTGAAAAAAAATCATATGAAAAATTCCTTTAAATATCGTGCTTGGGGGGTCCCCTTAAACTGCCTGTAAAGTGACACATCTGTACAATGTATAGAACCTGCTGCAGCAAAAATGACATTTGTAAAAAAAAAAAATTGTGTGCGGTTCCCCCTCCCAAACAATACCAGACCCTTTAGGTCTGGTAGGAATGTTAGGAGGGACCCCATTTAAATAAAAGAAAATAAAAGTGCATGAGGTCCACCCTCAAAGTCATACCAGGCCTTAAGGTCTGGAAGGAATTTTAAGGAGGAACCCCACCCCTAGAAATGCAGGAATAAAATTTCCTAACCAGACCCTTGATCCGAGCACAGGCCTGGCAAGTCAGGAAAAGGGGGCAGGGGACGAGCTAGCGCGCTCTCCCTCCCCCCGCCAAACTAAATGTCCTCGGCACAAGATGTGCCCCCCTTTCGCACTCGTGAATGAGTAAGGGGTACTTGTACTCCTACCCATTCAGTAAAAAAAGTTAAAATAAATGTAAATAAATTTAAATAAAAAGCCCAGACTTTTAGAAAAAAAAAATCCTTTAATTGAAATAAAAACACAACAAAGTTTTTTGACACGTCCTTTATTGTTAAAAAAAAAAAAAAAAAAGATCCACCGATGTAATCCTGGGGTCAATCACGATGACCAGCGTTGTCCACGACGACTCAACGAAATAGAAAAATAAATAGAAATAATCAAATAAAAACCTGTCACCCCCCCTTCCCGACCCATCCCCTCGCGACGAACTCCCGCAGCAGAATGGCATTCTGACAGATGCCAGCAAAATATAAACAATGGGGCATAGCTAGCTGTGGTTAGATAAAAAATTTTTGTGAAATATCACATGAGATAAAAAAAAGCCAATTAATTAAAAACATGTGATATAAATAAAAGCAAAAATTTAAAAACATGAGATAAATATCACATGAAGTCAATTCACTAAAAAAAAAAAAAAAAAAAAAGGGGGAAATTA